TATGGAGTAAGACCATACATACAGCAAGTGGAATCTTGTCGTCAGACCATATCAGAGACACAGGACAATAGCTTGCACAAAGTGTGTTTTTTCTATGTCTTTTTAGTAATATGGTTATAATGACAGATTAATTTATATTTAAAAATTAGCCCTTCTTGGAGACAGTATAATTTCAAGCAAAATGGGGCACAAATATCAAAGGAAATTGAAGAATTTCCAAAATCATGCTATTATTTTTTCTGCCGTCAGTGCCAGATGATTTACCCTTTTAATGCCCTGCAACATCTCCCTTCATCCAGACACGAATATAAGCACCTCAAATCTCAAGTGCAGTCAACACTTCAGGAGAAAGACAAGGTAATTGGAGAGATTAGAGAAAACTCATACAATTTTCGCTATCATATTGAATGTCCGAACTATAGAATATGGAAGAAAAAAGGTGAAATTTGTAGCTTATCTGCACCACATCTGACAGTAATACCCCTGCGTCTAACAGTCACCTGGAATATATGGAAGTTTTCATTGCTGTGGAGTCCCAAAGCTACAGTAATAAATGACTGGGTTGACTGCCATTGAATTGCCAAGGTCTACATATAAAAAATCTTGCATGACATCTAAGCAGTCAGTTTAATCCTTTTCTAAAGAGATTAATTTTCAGTGCAGCACCCCTAGAATGTAGTATGCCTTGTTCAGCATGTTCTAGAACAGCCAATTTGGTTTCCAATTCAGTAATTTTACGGAGGAAAGATGTGTGCAGTTGTGAGGCAATCATAGTAGAATTATCCTTAAGGAAGCTTTTAACTCCATCACATTGAATGTGGGGGTCGGTGACTGAACTATGATTAAAATCAAGGAAACCCTCCAGTTTAGATTGAAACTGTCTGGAACTATTCATTTTGCTATAATGTGGTATTAAAAAGCCAAAGGGTGGGTATGTGAAGACTTTTCAATTAGTACAAATATACAGAAATTGGAAATATGGTGGTGCCTGTGTGGTATCACTGCAGCATTATTGTATATAGTGGAGAAGAAAGCCTAGTAGGTGATGATAAATTCAATAATTGTGTAAAATGTATGATTAGTAGACAACAAAAAAATAAATTAAAGGATCAGTGGTTGGACACACTCCATATATCTTCCACAGATCAGAAACAAATGATTCAGTATTTTAGATGTCGGGGATGACATTATTTTTCCCCTTTGGCTTGATCTGATCTGTTAGGTTTGGGTGATTCTTGGCTGCATATCTGCACCTATAATCACGTCAAGCAGATCAAACAAATCAGGGGATGAAAGAAGTTCAAACATTGAAGGGTGGTACACTGAAAAGAAAAGTGTTTTTTTTTACATAATTGGAATTGCAGTAATCAGAATAATTGCAGTAACTTAAATTTATAGTAAAATTATCAAATGTAAAGTGTTAGCAGTTGTTGGGCCATGATGTGACTGCATATTTTGCTTGTGCTTTGTGCTTTTTTTATTTTGTACCTTCCAGTGTTTTCCATTGTGAGTTAAGTGAATGAGCTTGACTTCTCCATGGTATCTGTTGTAAAAGCTACTAGCTTTTTATCCACAGGGGCAAGCTGTGCCTGAGGTATCCGGCTTGTTAGAGTTTCACATGATCCCTGCGCTCCAGTTTAAAGATTTCTCTTTCTTCAGTCTCAGGATGCTTGAGATGCAAATTGATTTGACATTGGGAGATTTTGTTGCTTTTATCAGGTTGATCTTTCCTAGACGTAAGTGGTTGTTATCGCATACTTAGAAGGATTTGTTAGCTCTGGAAACACACTCAAACGTAATGCTTAAAAGTGCCAAAACTTTGGAAAAATAACTCCAACAAAAAGTATGCTCTGACCACCTGAAAACTGCTGTTATTGCTGTTTTCAATAAACAAATATAATATCTCCTCTTGGTTTAATTAACCAGTTTAATTAAATAGTTAAGGAAATACTTTATTTTTTAATAAATATTAAATAGCATGCTGCACATATAATAATGCTAATAAAATATATGGATGCACAATAAAAATATTAAAAGGTTTTAGGTTTTATAGGAGTAGTTTCTTGGGCACATACATAATGTTATTACAATTTCAATAGAATATATATTTGTTGATTGTTTGAGAAGAAGTGTTCCTTGGTATAATATACTGAAGCTCAAATATTTGATATTTTAATTAGAATTTGCCAATGTTAGTTCATTACGAATCTGCATAATAGCTTTTCAAAACCACATTATTTTTAATTAACAAAAGAACAGCAACAGATAGTACCATGCCTCTCATGAATGCTGAATATCAACTGTTTGCTACCAGCATGATTGAAAATGGCCTATAAGTGGGAGATGTTGCCCAGTGCATGTGATGTTTCTCTTCAACAAACAGAAAACTAGTCTGGAAAAGCCTGGAAAAAGCTCTCTGAAGGACAGGGCAAATCCATCGGTCTATTTGTGTAATCGTTTTCAGACTACATTGACTAGAGCATGACAAATTCCAAGAAGAAATTACTGGTGGATCAGGAGAAAGACTAGCTTGCCATCTGCCAGAAAATGAAATATACAGGGGTTAACTAGTCAGCTGAGAGCTGACAACTGAGAAGAGTCGAGGAGTGTTTCATCTACAGTACATAGCCTTTTTACTCCACTTTGTATTGGCAATATCCTTGAAATAACTGTTTGTCTATTCTCGCAAGCCATTCTTTTCCAGCCGGGCACTGCAAGACCACATACTGTAGGTCTGGGATTACAATGGCACAACATCAAACGAACAACGTGGAGGTTTTGGAATGGCCAACAGATCTTGACCTGTATATTTTGTTCATAGTTTTATGCTTGATGTTTCACTTAAAATATTTAATTACATCCATAAAAGCTTAGAGCTGTGCTTCTTTTGTGCATAATAAAAAGAACATATGTGTCAAATTAGCACACTGTAATGATTGTTTCGATTGAATATACATTCTATTCAATACTTAATGTAAGGCAAAAATGGATACAACCCCTTCTTGATTCCTGCTTTAGTGAGAAGCCTAACATTCTTGTGTGGTTTCAAAGCATTCAGGTGACAACTTTTCATGTTTGTTTGGTTAAAAGGTGTAGAAATGCAGGGAAGAGGCCAATAAATGCTTACATTGCTATTAATACATTCTAGTGACATGAGTTGGCAGTTTTTTAACTTTTAATACACACATTATTATTTTCTATATCTATAAATATATTTTATCATTTACCACACACTGAACAACTTGATGTTTCAAGCTTTTAACTGCTTTGGATGTGCACAGTATGTCTTTTTTATTTTAATTACCTGTTATTCAGACAGAACTATTTGGCATAAAACAGACAACAAATTGGTATGAATTTGTTTTTAACATTAGCATATTCCAGGATGCCTTCATAAAAAGCTATGCATTCTCAATAGAAGTTACTAGAACTTAAATTATGTCTCTATAATTCATTGTTAATTCAGCTATTGTATTTATGTCAGCATGTTGATATGAATGAGACAGAAAAACCTCTACTATCAATACTCTTGAGCTCTCAGGCCAATTGAATTTGAATCATTTCTATTTAAGCTGCTTCACTTGTGACTAGGAAAAAATACTGTAAGTAGTGCGGCTAGAGTTCATGTGTTACAGAAATTAAACTTTGTATTTTGGGGTCAGCTTGGTTTGGTAATATTAAACAGAACTGAAAATGGGCATTACCAGCATTACATTTATATTGTTTAACCTCATGATATAATTTAGTACAGATATTCTCTTTGTTCTTTGTAAATTTGATGCCTGATTATATGAATTTATGAAACTCTTTTCCTTGAATTGAGAAAGGGCTTAAAATAGGGATATGCTGCTTGTGTCCTGCCCTAAGCTGATTGTCTCACTCTCAGTCTACCTTTCCTTCTGCTGCAAAAATTAATATAGGCCTCATTATTGTACCTTATCTCAGGAAGCTAGGGGTTATTTTGTGTCATATTGCCTGGACATTAAGTTTCTTCTACCCTCTGTGTTATCACAGCCTTACTATAAATCTTAGGATTAGAGTGTAAAGTTTGTTTCTATACAAGTTGAATATACACTATTTATCTCTGTGCCGTTAAGGGTTTGACATTGCAAAGAGTGCAAGATTAGTTGTAAGGGGAGACTTTTAGCATTATATTGCCATTGAGCCTAAAATAAATAATTGCAAGCATTAAGGCCCTGGGGTACTCTGCCCACTCTTAGTGTTTTTTATTCACGGTCTCATGTCCTGTCTAATCACATTCCCCTTTAATAATACATTTCTAAAGACCTAATCAACAGCCCCCCTCCTCTTCTTTTCTTCCATGGCTCTGCCAGCTTGTCCTTCAGTGTAATACTGATTTTTCTCACTGCTTCTGCTCAGGTCACCACATGAAAAAAGTACGAGATGCTAGTAGTTTACATCTGTTGCAAAAACATAAGATGACTTGGACTTGGTAGTTCCTTGTTCATCTCCAAGACATCACAAACAAAATTCTGTTTTTTCCTTTCCGGGCTTAGTTTGTTGTTGGTTTCCTTGTACGAAGAACCATAAGTCTAAATTCTAAAGCCTACACAATATGTATTAATGCTTTTAGAATAATGTATGCAATCACATCCCACCATCTTTTCTCCTGTGCTGTGATTTTTGTTTTCAGTTTTCAGTCAGTTTCCCCTTCTGCAAATGAGAAAATAAAAGGATGGACAGGGAGTGCAAATTTGCTCTTCTGTTATGTATTTTATGTACGATTTTTATAAATGTCCCCATTTAGGCTACAGTATACAGTATATCAGTTTTATCTGTGTAGGTCACACCTTTTGTACAAGATACGAAATGAAGTAAAAATGATACCATAACATTTTCATTGAGAAAAAAGAGATGCTCATTTGTGTATGTGATCTTGTGTACATCGTGTCTGCTGTTTTGTCAAAACCATGCACTTGCATTGGGTGCTGAATTCTCGGTAACTGTGTGGTAATTCAGTTCTCTTTGTGTGCTTTCAGGTTGAAGAGATTGTTGATGTTGGAGCTTTTGCAGCGGAGGATGTTCATGTCCCCAGTATTTATGTCAACAGGATTGTAAAGGGAAAAAATTACGAGAAGAGAATAGAAGTAAGTAGAATGATTCTCTCTTTAGTTCTGTTTTGGTGCAGTGGGAGAGGTTGCTGGGAGGGAAAATGATGGCCTGTACTGAGCGTGTGGAAGAGCAGGGGAACATGGCGAAGCAGTATTTACAATCTTAATCTCCTCAGATTTAAGGCTTCTGGTTGGTCTGGATGCTTTTAGGAAGTTTCTTGTGTTTTTTTCCACCCATCCATTTTTGTATCCGATTCTTCCAGATCAGGGTTATGGAAGAGCTGGAATCTATTCATGCAAGCCCTTGTGCTTCAAATGCTTGATATTTTCCAATCTTTTATTTAATGAATTTTAATGTAATTCCAGAGTTGAAATCTGTGGTATGAACCTGCTGCAGAGTGTAAGTGTAAGGACTGTAAGAGAGGCACAAGTGAATAGCCAAGTCAATGTCTTGTGCATTGATTACTGTTATGATGAGTGAAAAGACTGGAAGGGTTTTACTTCTCATCACAAAATCATTTTGTTCCTTAAAAAAATCTTTATAAATATTCTGTTCCATTAGATCATCTGTTTGATCACTTCACTTATTGGCCACAAAGGTGTTCAAAGTACTGTAGCTGTCTAATGAAATCAGTTAAATGCATTGTTTCACACACACAAACTCAAGCTTCTTATTAAATTAAATTAAATTAACTTTTCCTGCAGAAAAACTTAATTTCTGTGAGAAAAGGCTGGATCACTGAGATGAAACTGTGACTAATCAAGTGATGGGACGAAGTTCACAGAACAGTCTCCTTTTTCCTATTTGAAGAAGGGGTATAATGAATTATTTTAATCATTCTCTCATTTAAATGTAGGGTCTCATACAGTAAATATTGTACACAAACAAAGCAAAGCACTGTCTCAGAAGTATAGGATGCTATTCAGAAAGTATGTTTATGCTATTGAAATTGACCCCATGATGCTTTTTTTATCTCACCGCTCACACTGTTAGTGATGTGAAAACATTAATAAAAAAAGTTTTGACATGCATCTTCTTCACTTTAAAGCAGATACAGTAGCAGTTACTAAGGAACTGCATGTGTTTCTTTCAGCAAGAAGACATCATGTCAGCATTTAGATATACTCTACATTTCTTCATAGACCTGTACCACTGTGGAAAACACAACTATATTTCCTAGCACTATGTACAGTATTTGTATTAATAATACAAAACCAGCCTGTACCAACAAACTACACCTAACCGACTGTTTTGTGAGTTTTTGTTGACTGTAGAAGACAATGTAATATTCACATTTTTTGTTCATTCAGTCCATTCTAAATCAGGATGTAACTTCCACAACCTGTGTTATTACAAAGACATTGATAGTTCTGTTCAGCATTCGCATGGAATTTGCTGTAATTTGAATACGCAGACAGTACATTTGCAAATAATAAAATACATCGAATTTTTATTTTTTTTAAAAAAGAAACATCTTTTACATGGCATTTTATCTTAGAGATATATATAGTGTAGCAAAAACTGAGAACTTGACCTAAAAATTAAAACTTGCCCTTTTTTACCGAGCTGTATAACCCACTTAAATTTGCTAGCTTAGACTACAGTGCTAATTCAAGGATGATTAAGAAATGGGAGGAGCTGGATTCCTGTTTTAGAACCACATTTGACCTGCAAGTATCTTTATTTTTGCCTTTCCACACATCCTTGAGTGCCTCATTAAATGGTACCATGTTGCAAGTTTTAGAGAGGAACAGGCCACCTGGCTCGATATGACTTGAATGTGCAATCATCTTAGAAGGACGCACCTGTTCCTGAATTCTTTGTTTTAATCATGGGTTCAGTCTTGTGTTTAATTGTTTGTTTTTTTGTCTCTGTGCAGAAACGGACAGTTCGGAAGGAACAAGCAGAAACTCCCAAACCAAAAAAGGAGTCTGACCTTGTGAGGGAAAGGATTATTCGCAGGGCAGCACTGGAGTTTGAAGATGGCATGTATGGTATCCTTCAAAGGGATGAGACTTTTGTAATAGACATACAAGTAAAGCTCCCTTTATGTAAATAGTGTGCTGCAGTTTAGTGATTCAAGGCAGTTTTCATTAAATGATCATCTTTATTCTAAAAATACTCAAGATGCTTGATGTATGGTGAAATGTCTTAATTCTCAGCCAGTTTGAACTGATTCTACAATCGCTTCAATATTGAAAATCAGCTTGGAGAGGATGAAGAGCCTCCTATCATCCATAGAATTTCTTAAGGTCAAAGTAGAAAGGCTTAGAGGACACATTAAATTAGGAGTGAAAGAACACTTGTCTTAACATAATATGTTTTTTTTTTATTTATGTACCAAAACACATACACATTGCTGTACTTAACTAGTATGTTCAGCTAATCTGGGAATTGGCATTCCTATGCTGGCCAGTAATTTCATCAAACCTGAGATAACAGTCCACTTGCAGAGTGAGAATGGCATTCTGGGATTGGTAAGTTTGTTTCTTGCAGACGTTGGAAATGGTTGTTTCTTGTTTGACACAGTATCTCGGATTATTACAGGAGAGAACATTTTCTTGTTGCACTGGGGATTTCTGTAAAATTTGGACAGGAGGGAGAAAGTATCAAATAAGATAAACAGTTTGATGGATTAGACATAATGGAATTCATGTGGTTTAGATTATGATATTTGGGATTTAAACTGCTGCAATGCATAGTTGAAAAGATAAAAAATGCAAGAAAAACTGAACATTTAGGCAACAAAGCAGTAAATAAAACAGCTCCACAGAGACTTTTGAAAGGATCCAATAAAACGTTGATTAAAGAAGAGACATTTGCTTTTACAATCCTGATTCCTATTTTTTTCTTAAAAGCAAATAATAGTCACATGTATAGTAAATTAATCAAATTCTGTGTTTCACCATTCTGTGTTGAGCCGCTCTGCTCTTGGCATTTGCTGTTTTACTTTACTAAAGTCTAAAATGACTTCACAAAGGATCAGCTACACACTATTGCGAAAAGTATGAAATATATATATGAAAAGTAAATATTTACTACATGGCATTTAATAGATACAGGTGTCAGCAAATAGGTTCTGTTTTATGTTGGTTTAGCAGAACATCTGTTGTAGCTCGGAATAATATTTAGAGCTCTTGTTTGGTTTGTTTTGTCTTCACAGGGTCCCTACCCAACTGAATCAGAGGTAGACGCGGATTTGATCAACGCTGGTAAGTTTTTTCGAGAAAAGAAAACGAACAGAATTGTAAAATAACCCACGTATTTTGTGTATCAAGGTGCTGATATAATAAAATATACGGATATGTTCTCTTTATTAAAAATTTAAGAAAAGGAAAGAACTCAAGAAATATTTCTAATTGTAATTAAATTCTTCAGATAGGAAACTTAAAGAGCTCACAAGCTATTGAAAGAATACATGGAACTCTTGGATACTTTTCAGAAGCCTAACTGACCTGTATAACAGGTCTGTTGAACACTTTGACTAATCCATCACAGTCTGACCTACTGTATGTGAACTACTGTATGGTTTCGGACTTTGACCCAGTCATGTTAGGTTTGGGATCATAGTGTTAGAAATGTCAGCAGTACAAATTTGTCATGAGCTGTGGTCATGTAGGCAAATTAAGATGTTCTGCTTTCTTTTATGTCTTTACGCTGTAGTAGCCCTTGCCATACGTGGTGCTGGTAGGGCTAAGATGGATGTCTCAAATCAATAGTTTGACAGTTTAAAAATGATTTTAAAACATTCACTGGATAAAATGAGATGTCTTTATACTATCAGTGATTTCCTGTTTCAAAATGCAGATTGAACACTGCAGTAAACAACTTTGATGAATGGAGGCACAAATACTAGGAAGAGGGCCTAGAGCCCTGTACTCCTGATGGAAAATGCTGCAGATTCCTTATCTCTGAGCAATATAAGATTAGGCAGCATTTGCTTATCTTAACAGCCAGTGTCTGGGCAGCTGCCTCCAGGCAACCATAATAGACCTCTGCCTTTACTATGTCAGCTCCAGGTATCCTTCTTTAACAATATAGCTATTTCTGTGGCATGAGATTGGTTCTGTGCCACAAGTGAGGAAGTGTACCCCTTCCTCTGCAGGTAAAGAAACTGTCACTGTGCTTTCGGGAGCCTCCTACTTCTCCAGTGATGAATCATTTGCCATGATTAGAGGGTAAGTAGTCATCGCTGTTACTCATTTGTGGAGAGACCTGCAGTCATGGATCCCACATTTCCTTCATACTGTATGTAACTGCCTGGATGGGAGCAGTAGTTCCATTTTCTTTAGTTTGTTGTTGTTGTTCCGAATGGCTATAAACCTTTGTGCTAATATCAGAAATGGTGATGAAATTATATCACTACTTTTATACAACAGGGCCTTTCACTATCTGAAATAAATACTTCAACTATACTGGAATCATCATACAAAAATTCTTTGTCCATTTATTTCTAAGTGAAATATTATAAATAAGATAAATATTTAAAAATATCTTTTACAGGGATGTTTTTTTGTTTGTGAATAATTTTACTGCTCAGTGTAGAAATCTTATTACGTTGTGGATTTATTTGTAACACATCTCCTATAGAATTGATCATGATGACATTTCACTTTAATTATTATTTATCTTTTGAAATAATGCTATTGTAATTGTTGGACAAATAATCTACTTCATACAGGTTTGTTAAACCTGTTAGATATCTCTTGTATGAACGGGAATGTTCAGGAAAAGTCCACATTTCGTTAGGGTAATTATAAATCATCAGTCTCCAGTGCAAAGTTTTTCAGGGGATTCAATACTGCAGGTTTTCTCTGTTCTGTAAAACTGGTTAAATGCACCCACTTCATGACTGAATTAACCTTTTCTTCACAAGTTCTTATAATTTCAAGTGGCTTTGAAATCCTGTCATTTAGGGCGTCTTTTAATTCATTTTGCTGATGTAAAGTAAGGTGGCTTGTTGCTTTGATAGGAAAAGACCTAAAGCAAAAAAAATCAATCTGGCTTTAAACAAACTGGCAGTGTGTGTATTCTCATGATGAACTTGAAAGCTTTTTTCTTTTAAGTTTAGAAATGTGCAATCATTTGTTAAATTAAAAGTGATATTTTCCTAATTCAGCAGTATTCCAAACATTGCAGTGATAGTTGAATAAATTACCAGTCATGTTCATCTGTAATGTGTCGAAGTTATTGTAGTTAATCCCAGAACTAAAAAAAGAGTCTGGTGTTGTGGGAGTTATTTATGTGATCAGATCTAATTGATTTAATATGGAAGATAATGTAATTTATGTTTTGAAGATCATTCATCCTGATAATGCCTTGTTTTTATTACCTGTCAAGACAATAATGACCTCTTTAATGGCTGTGGTAGCTTGAGAGATTACCAGATCACCATGGGGCTGAAATTGTCCTTACAGTGACTCAGTTCTTTGTGTCTTTGTGGTGTGACTGCTCAAGACTATGACACTGCTGTGTATTATCAGCAGGGAGGAAGGCTGGATAGTCTTTGCATTTTCACCATAGGATAAATGTATGTATTACTTTTAATAACTAATTCTCTTTGTGAAGCTTCTTAATTGTTAATTGTAAAAAAGCCATTTCATATACTTTAAATCTTTGTTTGCAGATGTGTATGAGGAAAAGCTGGCTTTTGATGCTTCATTGTTAAAATCATTATAGGTACTTAAATCACAGCTCCTATTGTTTCATATAGTATGTGCCAAAATACTAGGAGAGTATAAGCACCTTCAGTTCTATGTTTTCATGTTTATCATATTAGTATTAAGGAACACCTTGAAGATTAACCTCCATCAGAAAAAACTGTACCTGTATAAATGGTATAGGTATACTGAATTTCAGAAAGAGCCATTTCATGATTTCCAGGAAAGTGGTACAGAGAGCATAATGACTACAGTGCAAAAACATGGGATGTGGTCATTAGTTTGATGGAGTGTTAATGTTTCACAGTCTAACCAAATAATTCTAGTAATACCAACAGCAATAGTAATTGTAATAACTGTAGTGAATGCAATGCTGAGCTGCACCACTGTACAAGCTATTCAGCTGTGGAGCTTTTTTAAGGTTGGTAGGGTGGAGACTCCCAGTCTAGCAGAAATGTGAAGACAAAAAACGTTGGATAAGGGGGAGGTGGAGATGAGGAAAGGGGTTGAAGAGATGGAAATCTGGGTGACAGATTCCTGGGAATGTGTGGAAGGCAGTAATCTGTAAATGAATAGAGAGATTAAAACAGAGGTTAGTTGATTGTTGAGAGCTAAGAGAGTATGTGAAGCAGACATAAGGATACATTTGGCTTCTGATGTCTTTCTGGTAATGGAATCCCTTAGATGTCCTGTGAAAAATAAATAAATGGAAGAATCAGTGTAAATATGGTCAGGAGTTGTCAAGTGTTCCCTGAAAGGGTTGAACAGTTGTCTTCCCATTTTGCCTGTGAAAATGGGAGGGCATTATCTGCAAGAGACACAATAAGTAAGATTTGCGGACAAGCAAGGTACAGTACAATCCAGGTGATGTTGAAATGGCCAGAGTGACCATGTACTGACCATGTGCCGGATATGTACAGTACTTGTAGATGTTGCAGCAACTTCTATTAATTAACTAACAAAATAAATTCCTTGCCGTACAGAAACATTTTGCACAATTTTGAATTAAGTACAAGATCGTGAGCTTTGTGAAAGTACTGAATGGTCGTCATGTTGTCACAAACTGCTGGTCCCTCCATGGGCGAGAGCTAGAGCTTGCATTAACTGTCATGTAAAAACAGCCTTTCCTACTCACTGGCATCTGGAAGCAAAGTTGTTTGGTCTCCGCTGTTGAGTATTTGACTGTGCAGAACATTGTAGTCCCACACAAAACAGCATCATATACGCAGAAAGTCAAACTGTTTCCTTTTCCAAAGTATATTCAGCAAGCTCAGAGATAATAAACATGGGCACTGATATTGGTCCCATCGAGAAGTTTCTTGTCAAGATTCAGTGCTAGGTGCAAGTGAATAAGTACAGTTTGTGCAGCAGACATTTCACCATAGAAATGTTCCAATGTGATCTTCATGCAGAGTTAACAAATAAGTAGTAGTCGTGGGCAAAACTGCTTGAAAGTTGATATGTTGAATTCAGTTCAATTGTACTTATTCAAAGCAGTCTAAATAAAGTATCTAAAAACATTGCCTTGTATGTGTCCATTTCATAACATTATATACTGTATAAATTAATACAGTAGCAAGATTTGCTTGGTCTAAAGCATGTGCTTTATTGCAACAGAAATAGATTGGTTTTCAAATATTGTCAATTTAGGATAGGACATGTACTAAAATTTTCTCTGCTTTGGAGTTTATACAGTATGATTATGTCAATTCGTAATTTGAAATATATTTCCATTTCAGATACTAAGCCAAAACTTGTGCTCAAACCAGGTGACATTCCTACTGTTTTTGCCCATAAAAAGCAGCCCTTGAAAAAAAAAAGTAGTCAGAGGGTGATATCAGTGCTTGTTAGAAAAATCATCTATCTTCATGATTTAAGTTATCTTTTTTTGTCATAATTATGTTTAAGATCGAAGATATGTGTTAAATATGGTTTTACGACTTAGAGCAACATTCCTATTGGATTAAAAGAGATGCATTCACAAGCCATGTTGTTTACAGTGTAATAGGGCCGGTTCATGTCACCAGACGTTTTGTTGCCTCATTCTAAATCGCAGACAATAAAAGCAATATGGCGCTACGCCTACCTGAAAATTTAATCTATTTTGTGACATAAATTGGAGGTTTTACAAGTTTACAGTACTTTGTGAACTTCATCATTTCATTGAGGTTTGAAAGGCACTCATCAATGAAGATTATTTTTAAATTTAAAAAATAACAGTGCAATTTCCCTTTAGGGCAACCTCTTGTGGACAAAAAAGTTGTGTAGATTATACGGTCAGCAGTATGGGTATACACAAACTGTCCAGCTTAAAAGTCAGTCTGATAAATTCAACAAGATTTGAACCTGTACTTTAAACCTTGTTTGTGGTTGTTGGGTTTGTTAACTTACATTTGTGTGTTGTATTGTGTAATGTGCTTTGTATGTACTATAAAGTGGTATGTAATGATTACTTTTTATGTGCTATATAAAATAAAGTTTTCTTTAATTATAAAGATTTCTAATACGACACAGTGTGGGAGTTTCCAGTTCTTCCTCCTATTTGCTGCAGTGTAGTTCAAAACTATGTACTGTACAGTACTTTCTGTTAGGAGAGCAGAAAAAGGGACCAGATACATGGTCATGCCCTTAGTTTAAAACAACAAGGTGGAACAAAAGCACTCAAACTAAATATTCCTCTTCATATTCTTTGATTTACTGTTATGATGATCTCATGGCCGTAACACTTGAAATCCATATTATTTTATTTAATTTTTGTTATTTTTCAAGTACTGTAGTTTTAAGTGCTTGACTTTAGCTTCAATGAAGGGAAACAATGCAGAAAACATAATTATGTAAGCAATAGAAATAATAATAAATGGATTATTATTTATCATAGTCAAAAACAGTTTAGTCTAATGCAGGGTTGTGAGGAGTTGCAGTCTGAACCGGTAGATAATGGGCTTCAGTTAGGATACATTATGGCCAGGCTTGATTATTATTGGGTAAGATCATGAGTTGTTAAATTCAAGCTGTAGTCCTAATTCAACATTCCTGTGGCCTCCTAGGCATTCATTTGGTGCAGTTTGAACTCTTATGTGCTCAGAGTTGCTAATAGAATTTTGGAAAAAGTGATAGTCTTTGAATGTGTTAAAGAGAGAAATCAGTGATCAATGTGGGCTGCAGCTGAGATTTAGGACTTGTCACTGAGGAGTAAATTTGAGAGACATATAGGTTTTAGTAAGAGAATGTTACAAATTCAATTACAGAATGATTAAGTTCTGCATTTATCTTCACTGCTAAATATTTAAGTTCCCTCTCATATGAATTTTAGTGAACGATCTTGATAAGTTATTGCCCCAGTCTCTTATTACTTGATAAATCCTTGTCAGTGGAACAGATGCTCATTTTAAGATTAGCTTCATTTTTTGTCCAGTGTGGTAACAACTGCAGAAATCACTATAGCCTTTATAGGGTATATAGACACCTGTTTTCCTACTTCTTGAAGTGAGATAGCTTGTGGAGGTGGTAAGGTAAAGTGTTAAGCAAACACCTATTTGTTGGCTTTTATGTATGTGTTTGCTTTCTCACTTGTTATTTTTTATCTTGGGTTCTTGAGTGATTCAGGAACTCAGCAAGTGACTCAGCAAGTAAAACATTTCTTTGGAGTACAGGTTGTGAGATCTATACAGTTGCAGATCTGAGCCTGGGGCATGTTGCCTACAGAATGTGACCAAGAATCTCTAAGAGGTGGCACACAATCGCCAGAGCAATAGGTAGGGATTAATTGACCGGGTTCACTTGTCTCTTAGTTTAATAGCATCCTCTGTGACTTGACATTGGTTTGCAGTGGCAGAGAGAGGCATCACTCCTCCAATCAGGGCTAACCCTCCTGTCAGGGTGTGTAGAACTTGCAATGTGTCTGACGAATCTACCTTGCAAGCGGGCAAGTATGTCAACAGATCATACCCAGTTCTCTCTCAAACGATTGCTGGTGTTGTTTGCCTTTGTGTCAAGTTCTAAAAAAACACATTTGTTGATTCCAAATGAAGTATGTGCATGTTTAAAAAATGTACATAAAAACATAATATTTCACTGGATATCACTGCTTATTTATATACTAACCAGATCTTGTGGAATCAATATTCAATATTTTCTTTCATGTAACAGGGGCCACATCAACCTGACCATGCTGGGAGCAATGCAAGTTTCTAGGTATGGGGATCTGGCAAACTGGATGATACCTGTAAGTCTGAATTTCTTTTTTTCCCCTCTCACAGCATTGGAACACTAAAGATACCTTAATGTGCCAGTATAAAACTCCAGTATTTTATTTTCTTGCTATGTAGAATGACAGATTAATTAAGTACTTCTTAGAAATAAAGAGGCATTAACGTTATGTGTGTTTAAGAGTTCAATTTGTTAAGTTTCCTTTTACATTGAAAAAATAATTTCACCTGCCGTTTTCACCTAGTGACCATTCTTAAACAATTGGACCACTCACTTGATTCTTGTTATCTAACCACTCTTAGATTTTAGTTATCTAAGTTTTTGTTAAGAAGAGTTACATTTCAGTTTGAATATGTACAAAATTAACATGCTGTATAATCATCTCAAAAGTTAATAAGAATTTAGTAGAAAAAGCAGGGATTTTGGAAATTTAACAAGTACTTTAAAAATTCTTTAAGACGGTTGAGATGTATATGTAGCTGCAGTTGGTCTCAGTCCACCACTATTAATGCTAATCTTTTGCTTGCATTTTTCAAAGTAATAAACCTGGTAAAAGCAACAGTTAATGTGAATTAACATTAGAATGACTGAATTAACTGACATACTGCATTTTGTCAAAAATTACAATGTGCAATGTTTTTTTCTTGATCACAATCGATTTACAGGGACAATAATGTTTAAGACCAGAAACTCTCAGCAGTTGAATAAGGTATAAGGTATTCTTAAGGATTATTTTGATGCATACAGAAGCAAGGTGGCAAGAATTGATTGCTGCATCAGATGGGCTTTTGAAGGTTATTCTTTTTCTGACAGTTTTTTATGCAGTCTAGATATTATCAAACCTTTGGAATACTACAAAATTATTTCAATGGTAAAGGATGCAGAGGTATGGATAACAATCTGAAGGGTTATTTGCAAATATATAGTTTGTTTGCTGTCAGAAAAAAAAACTATTTTTCATTTACAAATAGAAAAACAGCAAAACAAAAACTTGCATCCAACCTTTTTCTTCTTCAACCAGTACAGTTCTGTTGCATTGCTAAAAACATTTTTTACAACTATGAATGGAATTTGAAGGACTCTAAATTGCCTAGACATGCAACAAATGTGTATTTTTATTTACTGTGCCATAATGCACAGCTTAAAGATATAACCACACTTTAAATCACTGTTGTCCATTACGACAATGCCTTTCCAGCCTTTCTTTCATCTTTTTCTTCTTTTGAATGCTTCAATTAATAGCTTCTGTATAATCTTTCAACTGTAACTGCATTGAGTAAAATCTAATAAAGCTGTCAAGTCTGGCAGTATAATTACAATAATTCCCTAATTGCTGATTGTATGCCAGCATCTCTAGGAAACTGTGACTTTATAGGTACAGTACATTGGTTCTCCATTACAGAACATTTTAGTCATTTTACCAGTTTTAAGTGACAGAGACAAATAAATCACATTTCTTGAAACAGGATGATAAAAGGATGCCACATTTCAGTTTTAGTGTATAAAAAAAATAATTGTAACCTCGGTTTTCCAAGCTATCGTTTCACGTAAATCCATTTTTGAGCCAGAGTATACTGCACAGAGTTCTCATAATCACAACAATTTAAGTTTGCATCATGTTTCTGTGCAGAAAAATTAAAAAGACATTTTAATTTTGCTGTATATAGTATGTTTCATATTGGATAGTCAATTTCCTTGTGTTATCAATTTAAACAAGTGGCCTGTACTCTGAAATGATATACACACAACTATGACCAAACACTAAATACAATATTGTGCAGACACAATACATGTGATGTCATGACCTTTAATCGCTATGTGGCAACTGATGCTAATCATACAGAATATACTGTATATATAATCATAAAGAAGGTTGATACAGTATGTATGCCACAGATGAAAAAGTACTGTCTGAAAAATGGGACAATTCCTCCTGATTTTGTGGAAGTTGATTTTAATATGTATAAAGCTCATCCCCATGAACCTTAAGTATGAGAGACACTTCTTAATTGCAAAATACATAAGCATTTCTCTCTCAGGAAGTTTGACACCTATCTAATTATACCCTAGTTGTCTTTGTAATTGAAATAATTGCACTTAGTGTAGACCCTCATCTATGGTGTTCCACAGGTCTTGTCTGTTCCCCGTCACCCATTAGTTAGACTAGTTGTTCCCATAGTTACATTAAGATGTCTTGTCTCTTCTTTGTTTGACATTTTTCTCTTATCTACAATTAGTAGATAGGGAGCTGGGCAAACTGAGAGGCAGTCCAGAAAGAGGTTCAGTCTGTGACAATACTTTCTCTTCTTCTAAAACAATTATCATTTAGTTGCATAAGTCAGAAACAATCAAATACAGCAAATATTGTTTATTTAAGTAATTAATAAGTGAGAGCTCTACTGGAATGAAAACCAGAGTCACAAAGCTTTGGAAGTTCATGTCTAGGCCTTGACCTTGAACAGTCTGCTTTTGCAGATACTTTTCTTTATCTTCAAGTCTTTGTTGAACCTGTTGACCTCCTTGACTTGCCTGTAAGTGATCTTGCTTTATTTCTAAGGCTTTTGGACGTTATCACAGATACATTGATTATTGTGTTTTGCATGTCACTGTTTATTGTTTTTTCTCATTGAATGCAGTTAGCTTCTGGACACCAAATTATTCATGGCTGAAGGACTCAAGGTGTCAATTTGAAATAACCATTACACCTAATCCCCGGGTTATATAAGGGTTTCGTTCCAGAAGTCTTTACATACTCTACTGTTACCCAAATTTTCCAGTAGTCCTCCCTAATTTTCCCTATTTGTGTGGCAACTGAGAAAAGAGTGACAGAAGAGCAACATTACAGACTTACCAGGGTGTCCTTTAAAGTTAACAGGTATGTGAGCTTTAGTGTAGGGACATAGAGAGCAAGAGAGAGAACACAGCAGCATCTAGCAGTCCATGAGGTAGGAACCTTTCTGCTTTACATAGGCGGAACACAATTAAAAATTAAAAATATAAAATATCTTTTTTGCTTTAAAATTATAAAAAAATATTTATTATTAGAATATTAGAATATTTAAACTCCAAATATAGAATGCACTTAATTTAAATGCACTAAATTAAACATTGGAGACAGAGAATTACCTTTTTGCAAATGTATAGCATAAACACGGTACTGTAGATTTAGTTTCCTTACACTGTGCTGTTCAGTAAACATGAAATAAAGTAAACAAAATTAAGTAAATAAAGTAGCATTTTAGTAAAAACTAAAAAAAAACAAAAAACATTTGGGTGCTTCTCTGACATGATTGTAAGATATAATACCCACATTTTTCATTGGAAAAGCCTGAGTTAATAATCTACATACTGTAGGTTGCCATATGTCCTTAAAAAAAATTGAGACTGAAGCTTGAAAAGTAGCCCTGGTGATGAGTGCATTACCATTCTGTGATATTCATCCGTGGAAGGAACTTACTACACTAGCTGCTGTTTATGTGCTAAATCTAAATGTTTAATAATACGAAAATTGCATTAAGGGACCAGTGTAGGTTTATATGTAAATCAAGTCTTAAATAACACTTTATTATACAGCATTCTGCCTTTCAGAAGTAAGGGGCAGTTGTTTAGACTATATTTGATGCATTATATTCAGCTGTATTTAAAATGTTAAAAATATAATGGTAAATGGTTTCATATACAAAACAAAATGCTTCAATTAGTAAAACTGATTAAAATAAAGAATGGGGTTTTGTTGGAGCCTATGCTACCTGCTAAGGAACTTTATGTATCTGGCATTTGTGCATATCCTCCAAATCTGTCAAAACTGTGAATATGCATTAACATAAATATTAAAATATCTCTAGCTAAAAATAAATAGTTCAGAAAGGCACTGCAGGGTACATGAAAGATGACAGCCATTCAGCTTCAAAGCTGCCTTCTTTTAAAAGGTACTCTGGAAGAAAAAAAGGCTGAATAAATGCATTCAGTGTAGTAAGCTGATTATGAGAGGAGCTTGGCGGGCATGATGAGGAGCGAGAGGGGAGATGTTCAGCCGCAGAGAAAGAAGGGCATTAATCAACAAAGAACTGGCCACTTTCCACTGTACATTTGTGTAAAAAATTCAGGATCCAAAATCAAAGCAAATGATTGTAACTGAATGTTGATCTGTCATCTCTTCTGAATCTCTCATTCTATATACAATTCTCACACTTCTGAAATATAAGGCAAAGTGATGAGGAATGGTTTTAACAATAGTTAGAAAAATGGACTTGGTTATTAATATAAACCATCAAAACCTCATTGAGTTAAGGTGGATTCAAAATTATAGTATTAATATTCACCCTCTATGATGTTGGTTTGAAACTAGCATGTTAGTTTGTGATATTTTTATAGTTATTTCTGTTAATTACCATTTGCCCACTAAATATATAAGCTAGAGGGTCTCATAACTATTTACTGTATATACAAGTGCCCATTTTAATTTGCAAACACACATCACTTCAAATAAAACATAGACCAAAGTCCATAAAGAAAATGCTGCCTTCAGACAGTCACTTCAAAACATGTGTTGACTCTTGACTTTTTGTAGGTAAACTCTTATGATCTAGTTATAACAGCCCCAGATTACTAGTTAGAAATCTACAACTAACAGCTGCTTCAAGTAGCATTCCACATGACAAGCCACATCATGTGCATTTACGTGAATTATCAATTCCTGTGATTATTAAGAACTAGAATCAGGACCCTGGAAAAGAGATGGACCTTTCGGTGCTGCTTGAACGAACAAATTAAATAGTTGTGTGGCTGTAGATTGTCCTGGTTTAAACATATTCCAATCCTTTTGATATGTGAACCAGTCAAAACCTCAGTGTACATGCATAGGAAGGCCAGTGTAACCAAAGGGAAATGTAGCCAAAGCATTGAACTGAGAAAAGGAACACCTGTTTCCTTGTTTGTTTTCTTAACCTGTATAATGCTTGTTTTTTCACTTGGTTGAGCAGAACGTTTAATGGTTTTCAAAGAATTCATTGAGTC